ATATATATATATATATATGTGTATATATGTATGTATATATATATATATATATATATATATATATATATATAAAATGAGACAATCTGTATTATAAATATATTTTTTATGTTAACTTTTGATGATTTCGTAGATGAATGGTCGCGACCCATTTTCGGAGTGGAAGCAGATTTCAAATCCATGACCAAGGAAGACAGACAAGCTAGAGATTTAGCTCAGATGCCAGCATCAAAGAAGAAACGACTCCAGTATGAAATCGCCTCCATTTATCCATTTCTTTCCTTTCCTTCCATTCCTAAATATATTATTTGATATATTTTCCTTTTATTTTCATTGTTCCCAGTGGGAGAACAGAATTAAAACTAAACAGATCACTCCGGTTAAAGAAAAAATAGATATATAATGAATAAATCTTGTTAATATTTATTAATATTATAGTTATAATTATAGATATTAATGATATTATTCATCATTTTTCAATTCTTCACTTTTAGTGTTAATAATCACTTTAAATGATTTTATATTACCATGTGTGTTTTTTAACTTCCAGTTCAACAGAGGGAGAAACCCCAATCAGAAGCATAGATTCAGCATTAGCCCAAGAAGGAAAGTATGTTAATTAACCATAATCTCATCAGATATTCTTTAAATTCTCGTTCAATTTACTCATCAATATCTTATCTATCTAAGTAGTAGTATAAACTCAATATTGATCTTCTAAACATGTTTTTTTCACCTCTTCTCTTTAGCTGTTTATTTGGCACAAAGTCTAGTTCCTCCAGAGTTGTGTTTTCTGCTCTGCTTTTTTGAATAAATATTTATAAAAATAACATCGGTTTTTGTATTTTTTGCAGAGCATTGAGGCCTGGTGATCCAGGCTTTGTTGGTCGTGCAAGAGTTCCTATGCCGTCCACGAAAGACTACGTCGTCAGGCCCAGATGGAATGTTGAAACAGAAATGGGAAGAGTAAGTAAAATTAATATTCTCTGCCTCATCCAGAGATATTTTTTAAATGTTTGTGTTTTGAACTGACTTCAATATACAACATATAAACAAATGTATAGCCCTGTCTTGACTATCAAATTTTGTAGCACAGAAAAAATTGTTAATGAATATTATACCAATTGTCATTATTTACTATTGTTAAGAATATTATTAGTGTACCGTGTTTATTGGCATTATTGTCGTCATTGGTTATAGGAACCAGATAAATTTTATCACTTGTTATTGTTGTTGTTGTCAAGACATTGACTAATTATTCTGATACACTTAACCTCAGTATTTTTACTTTTACCAGGAATCCAAGAAAAGTTTGACCAAACTTGAGAAGCATATGAGAAAGTTTAAAGAAGCAAAGAGCCGAAGTAAAAACAAGGTGCAGAAGGCAGTGGCAATAAGTGTAGAAGGAAGAAAGATGTCTTTATAACAGATGGTCATTGAGTATACTGTGTTGATGTTATGAAGGAGAATTGAGCCTCAGCCTTGTGCTATAGGGAAAGTTCCATATTTATCGGATAGTTCTTGCTGACATCCTAACTTTGGACAAGCACAGCACATCCAGATATGAATAAAGCAACATCCTGCATTGTGACCAATCACAGAAGTGGAGAGCTTAGTATGTTTACACTTTCAGCAGGGACTGGATGAATTTTGTTGGAACACAAGAGACTGTAAATTTTATGTTGGGGTGTTCGTCCAAAGGGATAAATATCTTAAGTCATGGCAAATCATATTTCACCCTTTTCAGTTTAGAAAGTTAATTTATTTCCTCAATGTTGTCCATACTCAAGGCCTGGCAACATATGATGCAAAGTACATATGATAGGCTAGTGTAAATAGTAAAACAAGTGTATTTTAATAAATTCATCTTGGATTAGACAACACAAAAATACTGTAGTAGTATTACTATAAATGAATACTGTACTGTAATACTGTACTCGTTTTTCTTCTATTACTAGTCGATCAGTGGTGTATCTAGGTAGGTGCACATGCCCTCCCCCACCCCCTGCCTCCAGTTGGGTCCCCACCGGAAATGTTCAAAGCCCAATAATTACTCAAGTAGTTAAAAACCACTTTATATCACCTTATTTTGCGAGAAAGCATCCCCCTTTTAATAATCGATTCCCCCACCCTGTTTCAAGACTCCAACTACATACACCACTACAATGGACTAGTGTTTTGTTATGTCTGGCCCCTTGGATGTTGTTGCTAAAGTCGCACAAAACAATAGCGTAAATGTACGTAAACATGTGTCTGTTGGACACAAGCATATTCCTGGCATTGTTTTGATTGGTACTCGAGTAAGGTCAAAGAAAAAGTTTTTTCATTTTGTTTAGAATTTTAGGCTTTGCAACTCAACTGGTTGTCTGTCACTGTTGTTAACTTATGTTGCCATGTAAATGTTACTAGAGTAGCTACATTTAGATAATTGTAAAGAGTGCGATTTGAGCCAACTTACTCCTTAGTTTGCAAAAGGTCAGTTGATGTTGAGTGGCATGGGCAGCATACGTTTATAAGGAAACAGTGATTTGCCCATAATGTGGTACCAATTTCAATGTGTAGGGATCATAGAGCTATTAAAATCGAAGCAATGCAGTGTTGTGTACCATCCAAGATCGCCACTGTAGGAAAGCGCCACCTTCAGGCTTAGTATACATATTATAACCATAAATAAGCCCTCTGTCATTTCATTAATCAATTAAGTATTGAGGAATGAAATTGAAATCGTGTATGTAACACTCGTACACCGCAACAGATACAACATACAGATGTAACATACGGGTAACTCAGCTGTACTTAACTTGCATGTGTAAATCGAAGGCACCATTGAAAACAACGATACAAATCGTGGATGGGTACACACACACAGCTCTTCATATTTCAGACATTGAATACATTGCAGTTAGCACCTTAGTATTCTTATAACTCTGGTATGGATACAATATTTTCTAGAGCCTAATCTGGAGAATTTATTTTGTATCAGAACCAATAAAATATAGAAATGTTAGACTTAAAAATTATTTGAGTTGAACTTGCGCAAGTCAACAACTGTATAATCAATTTTGGCCCTTAATATAGCTTGTACATTATACTAAGGGCTAAAATGGCTTATACAGTACAATATTTTTACGGCCAACAATGTGTGATGAATGAAAAAGTCCGCTGCTTATGAAAGCGTGGGTGAAACAGGCTGAGACAACGTAGGGTGCGTTCAGTTGAGTTTTTTGTGAAGTGTATCACGGGATAAATCCGGAAACTGCAATTTCCAGTTCTAGTGGGTGTTAAACGCGGACCACCGGCCGAAATCCGCTGATAATCCAACACTGCAAACTGCAGTGTTTTTGGAGGAGCAAAAGCAGCATGTTAGCAGCAGGGAGCAATTTTTATTACTTGATCCCATTTGATTGTTTTAACATGCGCCAGAAGTAAAGTCTGTTTAAATGTTCATGGTCCTTGCTTCTTTTAGAGTTTATTTCCAAAGATAAAATAAATTATTTCAACTGAAGCTAGTCTAGAATCCATATGTTACCTTGTTACATACGTCCACCACATGGAAACATTACAGTCGTAGTAATTTTATGTTTTTTATTCATCCAAAATGCTATGTATTTTGCTATGTAAAGTTTGCTATGTATGCTTTATTGTTCTAGCTTCTTCAGTAATTTTATTACTTGATTTTGACACCACTACTGTACGTTAATGCAGTGGATTAAAGCATCGGGTGACGCAAGGGTCCAGGGAAACTTGATAGAATTAAATGCTATTTGTTTTTTTGAAAGCCGAGTTCGGTAAGAACCCTATGCATCTTTTTCCTGTTCTCGCCCGGATAACACCCGTAGTGGTCTTGGGCTCAAACTTTAGCAATTAAAAGATTTTCCAGACTATTCGATTACGCAATGTTATTATACCTGTACTGTAAAAACATTTTGATGTATCTCTACAATTTTAACTACAGTAGTTGTAAAACAAGTGCATACTATAAACTTTTTCTGAATTAATAGTAGACTAGTTTTATATTTACTGAATGTACACAATATTTTTGTAAATATGTTTTTCTAATACCAAAAACGACAAAAGAACGAATAAAGACAACGTTGCACAGGCATCCCAGTGATCTATACAATTTATTGGTGGCTTTCTCGAATAAAACTACACGTAGAAGAACATAATATATATTCAATAAAATATTGTAATCTGTCGCGTAAATGTTTCCCAAAGCCATATCGCTGTGTTTCAAGAAAGCAAGAACATGAAAATCAAATTGTTACAGTAATTGAAACTAATATTTACAATATTTATATTATGGGATGGATTATTAGTTCAGAAGTCAATTTATACTGTACATATTTTTACATAACTACTCTCTCCTAACAATTTCTCGCTCTGCAAATTCGGCTTCAATAAAACTACACAAACATGCATCACTGGATTTGCACACACATACACCGTCTCTTGCTTCGGACTTACTACTTATATTTAATACAAACCCACAAAATACTACTAATTATCTGTTGACGAATTAAATGTTTACCAAATTAAAATTTCATTAATGCATCATTGCTTGTATTGGTTTAAAATGTACATATGTGTATGCAGAATTATTTAATATACATAATACATCACCATGTGGAAAATGAATAGCACCTGGTATAAAGATATAGAAAATACTATTGTGCAATTTACTTTCATGCCTGATTAGATACAAAGCTCAATAAAAAGTGTTTGCATTATTACAAAACCCTCTTCTAGAATAAATTTCAAAAAACTTCCAAAGTCACTTTACAAAATTTGTGTTAAATGATTAACTAAAGATTTACCATCAAACTGGACAATGATTAAAGGATAAAAATTAAAATGCTCACTTATTAAATGTTTATACACCAATGTAAAATGATTTAAAAGTTGAGTGGTATAAAATTTACACTGTTATTTAAAAAAAAGGAAACTACTCATTTGATTAAAAATCACATTCACAAAAATTCAGCATAAAAAAGTGATAATTTTAACAATGATCAGAACAGTAACTATTAACTGCCCACAATTCGTGCAGTTAGACTATTTTTATATATCACATCCATGTAGCGTATAACAATGTCCCTTCCTCTTTGGTTACCCCCAGCTTTGTTTCAAATCAAGAATTACAAATCGTATAGAATGTCGAGTGGAGGAATTTTAGCAACTTCATTGAAAACTCTGTTGAAGAAAAAGAAAATTGAATAATAAATTCTCGGGACATAAAATTCATTGAAAATTTTGAAGTCATAAAAACATATCTTTTATGCTGACAGTAGGACTTAGAATGTAACAACGTCACCAAGAAGTCATTTGCGCATCCGAGAATGCAGAGTTGTTGACTTGATTCTAGGATGTAATTTGGCACAAATCTACGTTGTGTAAAGAACAGATGAGTGAATCCGTTCTAGAATTACGTTAAAAGTGCCTTATTGTCTCTGATGAACTAGACCATTGCCCCAATTTCCACACATATTGCAAGACAATTTGTTTGATCTGATGTCTGAAACATTAGTGAGCTTTTGATTGTGATAGTGGTAAGATGTTATCAGATCAAGGTACTACATGCATGCAAAGTTTTCACTGTATTCTGGTACATGGTTTAGCCCTGGGGTGGGCATAAAAAAATGGATCGGAGGGCCATAGTGATGTTTAGGTCTGCACTACTTTGTTTTCACTGTGCACGGCTTTTATACTACTTCCTTCTCTGATCGGTGTTGGGCCGCACGCATCTTGGGGTAAGTTTATCGCAATCAAAACTACTTAATGTGAAAACAACAGTATGTAAATATTACATGTAGTAAAGGTTTGAAGACTTACGGGTGGGAGTACTTGTTTCGTACAGTCATGAGTTGCTCATCAGGAGATGCGGAAATAAGACTATTCAGCTGTCTCACTGTTGATTCCAAATCCTTTTCCGTGTACCCTGAATAATATTGAAGTGTGTTATCCTGAAAAAATAATCATGAAGGAATAATTATTAGGCAAAGATATTTACAGAGTATAAACATATAACAAAAGAAAAATTTAGTAAACACTAGCTGAAGAGACGATATTAAAAATCAAAAAGGTGTGTACACTAATATTTTCTGTTGGCTTATAATAGCAAGGTAGTAAAACCCAGGCATACATTAGACTACTCAACAATATTTGATCAGACTGACCAAATTCATTAAAACATAATATGGCTGTAGCAAAAATAATTGTAAATATTGAACAAGGTATTTTGGGGTCAAATCCTACTTAAGACAACAAAGTTTTCATGTAACATCTTTCATACCCCTGTTCAAAGTACCAGTGATTTTTATAAATTACATACAGTTGAACTTGCCTAAGTTGATTCCAAAATGCCATTGAAATATTGTTCGACTAATAAAATTTGACTTATAGATTGTTAATTAATGGAAAACAACAATTTGGCTTGTAAAATAAGATCAACTTGGAAATTATTCGACTTAGGCACAGTCGACTTGGCAAGTTTAACTGTAATATCAGGTGTTAGGCTGCACATACCCATTCTCCTGATTTCTTCATGCGGAAGGCAAGGAGAAGAGCTCCTGCAGCTACTTGCGAGTCTCGTTTCTCAATGAAAGCAGAGTCGTGTAGCGAAGTTTCCAAGATGAACCGGGCTAGAGTCAAAGTCTCCATAGATGAGCGTGCACACTGTAGATAAAACAAAGAATTATAGCAGCATATATCAACCATCAGTCTGTAATGCATCTTGTATTAAATAATCAAAGTAAACAGGCAACTGACAAAGATTAAAAGTATGAGGTTAAGGTCTGTTGACACTATCATATTTTATGTTGCTTCTATTCCTGTCCTGAGGCAAAAAGTTGAGAGGAGGTCAACTTGAATGACTTGGTGGTTAAGGTGCTTGCTTTCTAGTCCCAGGTTCCTGGGTTCAATTTCATAACCCGTTACTGAAGACCAAAACAACTCCACCCCCTAAGCCTGATAATGAGACTCAGTTTAGGTATAGCATAGTTTGTCTTGTGAAAGGGATTGCCACTTTGTAAAGTGATTAAGTTCCTTATTGGCATAACCTAGGCCCCGAGCCTAAAATAAAGAAACCTGAACGTAGTTAATTCCCTTATTTATATGCTACACTAGACTTTATGTAGAAGTGGATGCGTTACTGTACCTTGCAAATACCAATGAGTGTGGTAAAGCAACATAAACATAGTGTTTTAAGTTCTCATTTAACCAAATAGTCCCAATTTTGCTAATATAATTATTAAAAATAGGCAAAAAGCTATTTAAATTGAAGTTATTATTGCATATATTGTTTTGTTTTGTTTAAACCAATTTCTACTTGGCTAAGTATTTTCATACTGAATTAGCCAAATTGCTATATTTTTTGGCCAGCTTAAACCTTGTAGACGACATGCCTTGCACAACAACACAGACAAGGGCCAAACTAAGAGTGGACTGTAAGCTCAAAGCATTACCAATGTACTGTGAGACTGCTAACTTCACATAATTTTGATTACCATACCTTTGCATATCTCCTGAGAAAGCGATAAGATATGGGGATTCCAAGGTCAAACCCGATTGTTTTCAAAATACTCATCTCCATCATAATAAAATCTTTCCTTTTGTACGCATCATCACATATATATTTAAAATCATCCAAAAGTGGAGGTGAACGTTCCTGTAGTAAAGAAAATTATATTTTTTTACTTCAAACATCATTATTATTACAGCATTATTAATGTTTACTACATTTCTTTGTTCATTTTTTGGCACTGACAACTTTGGCGGCCACTCTGGATAAGGGGTTACACATTTTAAAGAAATTAGTCACACTTTATAACTAGAAAAAGAAAGTACATAAATTAATGAAACATTACACCATGGGTTTGATTTACAAGTCCAAAATCACAAATACCCTTACATCAAATTTGCATGAAATGAACAGCGCAGTTGCTCCAACGAGTTGCAGGATGTCGCGTCCAACATTCTTCTTGTGCATGAGATAATGATCGACAAGTTTCACCGCCAGGTACAATGTTTCGTGGTTCAGTTCAAAGCTTTCTTGTATCTCTACCAGCCAGTCTACCAACACAGCCCGCATCTGAGTGGTGATTTCCACTTGATGTTCAAAATACGGCGTAATTTTGAATTTTAGCTGGGAAGAGATTATATTATATGAGATTTTTTAGATTTATATCATCCTAATCGGAAGAAGGTCACTAAGTATGTAGTTGAATACATCTAAATTAAACGCATTATCTCCGTAAACACTGCATAATCAATAAAAAAAAAACAATTGTTACTAAACCAACTTATGTTTTATATCCAATGTTCAGATATCCTCCCTAAATAAAGATAATGATTTAATTGTTTTGTAATTGTTATATTTTGATGTCATACCTCTCTTTCTTTTTGATATTTGAATATATCTGCAGCATAATCTGGAGCTTCATAAATATTGTCTGCATTCTCGGCATCAAGGTCTCTAAAATCAGTGATATCATCTTTGCTATCATTCAGACTAATAGATGCCACCTACAAAATACAATTAAGAGAAAATTTCAATGTCAGATTTGTCTTATATAAACATTGTATATTCAGTATAAAGCGATGTTTAAATGAACAGGCTCTATACTTTCAGCTAAATAAATAGCCTGGGTTCCAGGCCCTAATTTTGGGTTACTCACTCTTTATTGCACTTAGTGCGCGCCATTGCTAATTTAATTGGCGTTCTATACTCGATTTCTTTTTTTTTTTTTCGTATTATGGCCTGGGCAAATGCTGCCTGATCATTCATGCATATGATTTCCCACATCAAATTTAATGTAGGATATCATATACATGACTGATTTTATAAATCATGTGATTGGCTTACTTCATGCATATAAATTAATCTTGGTAAATTTTCAAAATTGAAGATGCAGATGTCTCGACTAAGCTAGACAATCTCCATTTTGCCTACCTAGTTGAATAAAACAGGTAGTTCTGGCCTGCTGAACGACTATGGTCTGATAACTGTACTAATACTTACAGAATCCTGCTCACCGCTAGCTACACAGATTTAGGCCTTGGGTAGAACGTTGTTAAAAAGGTAGGCCTACTGTAATATTACTGTATTATTAACTAGGCCAAGCCTCTACTAGGCCTATATTTACTACACTACTGGACACCAGAGGCCTGGGCCATCCTCTGGAAAGTGATGTGTTTGTAATAATACGCCATCTAGCCTAACCTTAATTGTTTTTGTCACTGCCCACACTAGTATTACTAGGGTATATTCTAAATATTTTAGGCCCGTTTTATTAGGGAGGACTATTTTTTAGTCATGCCTAACTAGTTGACGCGAGTTACTCAGTTTCGTGGCTCCGAAAATGTGAACATTGTGATTGGTTTAAACTGTTTATTTCGGTGTACCCATTTATCCAAGTACGGAATATATGATTACGTCATTCTTTTGCCACCCTGGTACCCGCATTCAGTGTTTTACAAGTCGCTTATTCCGTTTCTCAATTAACTTTCTTATTGGTGGCGCTGTCCAGAATGAGAATAATAATGAAAAATAAACTTGTGGCAAGTCTACTAAATAAACAACCTGAAATTTATACCAGTAGCCTGCCGTACACTAGTAAATTGATTGTTTATTTTTTATAAGGTCCTACAAAAATCAATAGCCATTCGTAAACAAACATGGCTGGGTTTGGGTTGTTTGACGTACATATATTATTACTGGCCACACATTAAAATTAAATCATGGCATTTTGATTGGTCAGTTAAGTTTGACACTGCGAACAGGTCCATTCAGCTTACAATAACTGGCTGCCTCCCAGGAGTCAACTAGACTTCAATTTTAACTTGCAATACTGTAAGTGCTATGTTAGCCGAAAACTATTAGATGCATTCTCATTGGCTAATAATTTGAAATTGTTTTAGGCTCAAATTTTAATTGGCCAATCTACTTCTTTAAGATTTAAAAACTAGCACGCTATATAATTCAAAAAATATACTTACTGCATCTTTCAATTCTAAGGCTTTGTTATTTTCCGTATTCTTTTCATTCATAATCAATTCGACATCACTGCTGTTGGATTCCTGTGAACTAACAGACTCCTGTGAACTAGTTGACTTATTTGAACCTTGTGAAGATATTTCCGGCAACAGCTGTACACTATCCTCATTGTGTACTGTCAAATCCTCTTTGCTTGTCTTTGCTCTTGCCATCACTTTCTTTGTGGCGGTTGGCTTTTTTAAACTAACTTTCATCCCAACACCTTTCTTTGTACCAACACACTTTTTATTGCCAAATGCCTTCATAAAAATTCAAGAGAAAAAAATTGACATAATAATTGTAGGTAAGCTTTTCTCTTGTTTTTTTTTCTCCAATATTTATTTTAACAGTACAGTAATCTATTCAGAAAATATATAACCTGTAGGCAAATCTATTTTAAATTTTAAGTTTGATTTAGGTGGCAGTATTTTTTTTTAACATGGAAGCGGTTTGGCGCAGTGGGAATGTTTTGGTTTTCCAACCTCAAGGTCGGATTTTCAATCCTCAACTGTGCATTTCACATGTATCCTTGAGCAACATTGTTTCAGTCTAGCCAGGTGTAACAATGTATACCACCAAATTGCTGTGAGTAACCTGCGTTGGACCACTAACCCAACCTGGGGGGTACATATTACACTCTTATCCGCTTCACGCTACAAAATCTGCGGATAAGCTCCGGCTCTATGAGCCTTAGTGGTTTGCTATGATTATATTTTTAATGTCATTTTTAAATTGTTTAAATTTATTCCATAGGCTCAACATAGAGAGCATCTTTAATAAATAAAATATATCATCTTGGCAGGCAATTACTCACATTTGTAATGTCCATGAAAGCTCGTTTACTAGCATTCTGGTTGGGTGGTGAGCCTTCAGATCGCCGCTTGGCTCGAGTAAATGGCTTTGTATTGCCAACTCCATCTTGGTGAATCTGTTGTGTGAATAGAATTTGAACAATATTAAATTTAGCATGTAGCATGATCATTATTTTCCCCACCATTGGGATTCGAACGTAATAGACAGATTAGCATTCGGTTATTGTACCAAGTCTACCAATTTGGGTATGAACTGCACACAACTGATATTTATCAATTTTTTTAAGCATAGGTAAAAGGATAGCAAATCTTGGGCATGGGTATTTATGAAGCCCTACAAAATAGGGTTTGGGTACTATTTAGGAAGGACCTAGATGAGTTTAAAATTACAAAATCTAACATCAACTTGATATACTATAAAATGACATCGTATTCGCACTTAAAATTTCATATTTTGATATTGATATGGACAATGACATAATTTTAAATTTAGAATAGGAATTTATGGTTTAATGTATAATACAGTATAATATAAACAGTCAATTTAAAGTTTTGTATCACAAATGAATTTGCTTACACTTGTTAAAACTGCTGTCCTCTTCTTTCTCAATGCAGGCTGAGGCATTATGCTTAGTTTTTCTTTTGAAATACGATACTGTAGTAAAATTCTGCAATGAATAATCGATAGCCAAACTTATTAATTTAACCTTAACTACCTGTAAGTACTCTACATGCAAATTATACTTTATTAAACAAGGCATTCATCCACGGGTATAGACATAACAGGTTCTTGCCAACTAATAGGTAATGCAAATCCCATAACACTGACTGGAATCCTATGTGAATTTTGTAACATTATCTGCCAAAAAAGAATTAAAAAAAAAAGCCTAGGTAGTAGAAATCCTTTCAATAGGACCAATCTCCATGCAAGTTTTGCATATTAAAAGTTGCAGAGCTCTTTGTTTGCAGCTTTCAGCAGATTGCTAATCTTACTTACATTCTTGGGCTGTCGTAATAAGGATACACAAGCTTTCATCATCTACATCTACTGTACAAGGTGCTATATTAGTTATAGGACATTAACAATAACATTGTGTTCGTATCGGAAAAGTCTAAAACCCTTTTGCACATGCAATCCTTTATCTTTCACATCCTTGTCGTCACAGTTCTCGCAATTGATTAAATTGAGTAATTTAGTCATTTGTGTGGGGTTGAAAAAAGAACACTTAAATAGTAACTTCACAGGCATTTTTGAAAATAAGGCCACATTTCCACTTAATTTTTGCAGAAAATTAGGGCTTCTTGTATCAAAACTATGTATAATATGCAGTAGTTACGATTCTGCACATCAAAATGGTTGAGTTGATCATTCATATAGCCTATAGGCCTAGCCAGGAGAGCGGCAAACTTGGGCAATCAATGCGGAAGCCGCTGAAAAGCTGATGAAGCAATGTGCAGTACCTGAAATATGAAAAGCTAGATAGCAATAATGGTCCTACCATAGAGAATTATTATAGAGCTATGGTCCTATTCCCTAGCCCACTCTCAGCACTACACTACACCTACACGTGACTAGACTGCCTATTCCACCAGCAGTAAGGCCCAGGTTAGTCTAGGCCTAGCTCTAGGCTAGACATTCTCTAGGCCTAGGCTAGAAGGAATTCATTTAGTTGCGCCCTAGCCTAGGCCAGGCCTTCCATACATTCTACTACATACATTCATACATACAGTAAGCCTCAAAATGCATTAAATTTTTAAATATCTATAAAAATTGCTAGGCCTAGGCCCCAGATACAACGTAATTGCGTGTTATGGTATGAAATTTCAAAATTTGCATATTCATTAAAACTACCAAGTAACTGAAATTCGAACTCGAATTCAGCTGGTCTTCCCAGCCCAGCTGGTCAACCATTCATTGAATTGAAACTCATGCATCGAATTTATTTGTTGTCGGCAAAATGGTGGATCAAACCAGCCTGGGTCCTTCAACACTCTAGCAAGATTGACATACAAATTTGAAGTTAAACCGGCCAGTTATTAACTTATTTAAAGCAAGATATAATGAGATATAATGCCTGAAGACTTGCATAGTATATTTACCAAATATCATCAACCTTTCTGCTTATTTCAAACAAACTTTACCACGACACTGTTGCCTCTTTGTTGTTATCTGATCTGATTTTTCTGCATTCGAATTTGACGCCCGTCTACGGGTAATTTACATGAGACGCGAGAATATCTAGCTCTGATTGGCCAATTTTAAACCAAGCATTTGTAGACTCTCCATAAAATTAAAACATTGCAAATGTAAATTATGTTTTACTAGGTTTTCTTATAGAAATTACTATCAGCAATAAGACTCAGTTACAAATAAATATTTTAGTATTTGTTTGGTTAATAAAAATTTGGATTAGCTTTTGTTGAACGAAAACAAAATAAAAAGAAATTGTTTGTTGAACGTGGGTATTTAAATCAAAGATGGCATCCCCCATGCACAAAATGCAAAATGGTAGACGGCCCATTCTATAGTTTATCTGTACGTATCCGGCCCATTACAGTAGGTAGGCCTACTTACTTACTTACTAACTTTCTTACTTACATACATAGTAATTTGGTAAGTAAGTAAGTAATAATAATAATAATAATAATAATAATAATAATAATAATAATAATAATAATAATAATAATAATAATAAATATTATTATTATTATTATATAACAATATATTTTGAATAATTAAAGAAGATTAAATAATAATAATAATCATAATAACAATAATAATAAAAATAATAATAATAATAATAATAATAATAGTAATAACAATAACAATAATAATAACAACAATAAAAATAACAATATATTATTGACCTATTATAAATAATGATAACAGTAGTGATGATTATGATGATGATGATGATGCGCTTTTGAAGAGGTTGATGATGATGACATAAATATCAATAAAAATAATAATAATATATTATTACAGTATATTATAATAATATTTTTGACGAGTAACGGATGAGTAAGAGTGGACAAAATATAAACAACTCTGTGTAGGGGATGCCTGTGTGAAGCACCACGAATGATGTGTGGGTGTTTTAAATTTTTGGTTTTCTGCTTATCCATGACATTGATACACGGAATTTTAATAGGAAATTAGCTTGTTTTGGAGTCCCGTGCTCTCTATTATTAATGATCTTTTCTTTCTTTCCTTTCTTTTTGATTTCTCTTTTTTTCACCACCCCTGAGAAAAGAAACTTTCATAAACGCCAAAACCTGGATTCTTCTCGTATGTGAAATGTGAAAGTACGTTATAATAATATAACTTATATGATTCTTCTTCTAATCTATTTTAAGAGTGCACATTTTAACGGACGCATTGGCTAACACAAACACGACTTGAAATAAATGCAGCCTTGCCACGTGCGTTTTTGTGGGAAAGGGCGTATTCCTGAACCTATGTTCTGATTGGTCAGATGTTTAAATTTTATATTGACACTCTGAAAGTCCAAAAAATGCCATGGCTTGGCCATGGCTAGATAAATGTAGTGAAGGTGTCTGTAATCAGCGAAAATTGACCCCTTTTCTCCGAACTATGCATCATTTACGGAATTCCCTATCCAATTTTCCCCATCACAAATACAAGGGCGGAATAAAACATAAAAGTCTAAGTTTAGAAGTTTCTTTTAGACTTGAACTGATTGGTCAGCTGATCTATCATACGTACCAAAGATACTAGAAATACAAGATAGAGTTCTCCACACAAAAAAAGTGTTCCACTGTATTCCACCGAAATGCATGGTGGGAATACAAAAAATGGGACGCCCCCTACAGCTGGATCTAAAAAAACTTTTGCCACACTTTCGTTACCAAGTCGTCGCGTATTTTTATTATCAATTCTCAACAAAGATACTAGATATAAAAACAAACTGGAATAGACACCCAGACATTGACATCGGTGAATACATAACCTTCTTGGTGGCGGTAGAAATCGTTGCTATTATCCAAATAATACACAAAACAATTAAAGCATAATCATGAATCAGTAAAGAATAAAACAACAATACAGC